TGCTCCGGGAGCCCAACGTTAATAAGGTTTGTGTGCGGAGTGTGAGAGAAAAGTTGTTGTTTTTTCTTATGTCAGAAGTTTTTTGAAGTTTTTGTTTTCATTGGGAATGAATTTAAAATGTTTTTTTGTTTCCCCCAATTCAATGAAATCCCTACTTTTTGTTTTCGTGCCATCATTTCCTATGTTTTGCAACCAGTGTTTGTCACATAATTAGTGTGTTTTTGTATCTATTTTATTATTAATAATGTCAACGATCCTATTTACAATTTAGATTATAATCCCATAAAATTTATTGACATACGTATAGTAATTAATTTTAACAAGTAAGAGATTTTTAATGTAATATTTTCTTATAAGTTTATACGTGATTAGTCAAATTACTTTAATATTAAGCAAGCAACATAAAACTGAGCAATTCTGTAGCTTAAGAATTTTAGTATTTTTAAAACAAATCCCGTTATAAATCCATTTACAGTGTGAATCAAATTAATCTAATTTTTATTGACTCAATGAATACATACAGTTACATCAGAACTACATTTATTACATCATTTACTTCCAGAAAACACTTTCTCTATTGAAATCAATAGTGTTTTTCTCAGTTGCAAAAGCTATAGAAATAGTTTTGCCGTAATCTTACGCCCAATTAAACACACATAAAGTATTTGACGATAATTGCTGTAAAATAGGATCTGTAATGAAAATTCAATACATATTTCCACTCGCAGTGAGTGTTCATAATTAATTTAAAGTTTAAAAAATCATGCGAAAAGCCCAGGGATAATCTGTTAATTTGTAATTATAGTGACTAAATCATAAGTCAATTGATTAGCGATTTTTCTTAACTGATATCAAAAAAAAGTTTTTCTCAAAACTACCTTTAATTATAGCCAACAATATCTAACCAACAAACTATTTATTTTATATATTATTTATTTTATTTAGTAATTATTAGTTTTTTTGTGAAATATATTTTACCCAAAAGCCCACAGAATTTATCGAAACTGAATAGATTTATGGCTTTGAGATTATAAAACAAAATCAAACATTACTTGTTTTTTTTGCTGTAATCATAATTTCATAATTCAATTCGTGATCAAACTTATGATTTTTCTGCCACAAAAATATTGTTTATGCGAAATATGTATACTAAAAGTGGGTAAAAAAGACAAACATATACTGTAGAGTGATTTTTTCGATTGAAAAATGTGAGAACTTTTTACTTTTTGTTAGCTCTAAGGCTATAGTTTTATATAATCAGCTAATGTTTAGTACATTTTCGGGATGAAAAATGCACTCAAAGTCACACTCAAAGCCTTGACTACTCCTCAAACATCTCAAATTCATCCCAACTCTCTCTCTCTCTCTCTCTCTCTCTCTCTCTCTCTCTCCACCTACTGATGGACACATTGGTTTTCCAACAGATTTCTTATTATCTCATTGATGATTGAAATGGAAATATAATTATCTCATAAGTTATGATGCATAATAATGACAACAAGTTAATAGAGAAATCGTGACAATATATCGTATCGCTTGCTAGCCGTCCACCGATATTTGACTTTGATTTTAATATATAAATAATAAGTGACTATTAATAAGTGAATTGTTATGGAAAACATAATCATTCCTACCACTTACTAGTATATAACTTATTATAAGATATATACACACGGATAGCAGTTCTGCATAAAAAATAGGGGATTAGGTCAGGGCTACCTACCTGTGTGTGTATGTGTGTATGTGCTCGTGTATTACCAGCGAATCAATTTTAATAAATAACTTATTAATACTTAATAAACTTTTGATACACTGTATAGTAAATTCAAAACCTCACTCATTATTGCTTCGTAATTGTCAAAGACTTTTGCCACAGAAAAAACACATTGTTTTCCAAGAGATTTATTGTATTGTAATCACAAAACAACACAAAATTAATGCATTTCTCTCCACCTTTCTCTCTGACATAACGTTTAATTAATAGCTTTCATATACATAACGAAAACAAACTTTTTCGCTAAACTAAATACATCCATAATTAGGACTTGGCGTTCACCACCCGGGAACGGGAGGCCCTGTACCTCAAAGGACTGCTACCGCCATGCATCAGGACCCAGGACATGCAGGTGGAGCTGGTCATGGCCAACATACGGGCCATCAAGGAGGACCTCACCAAATACATGTACTTACGCGACCTCCAGGACCACAACAAACGCCTTTTCTATAGAGTTCTTCAGCTCTACACCACGGAACTCATGCCCATCGTATACACGCCTATAGTGGGCGCCGCCTGTCAGAAGTACTCCATGCTCTTCAAGCGACCCCGGGGTCTGTTTATCACGGTTCACGACGCCGGTAGAGTGCCCTCTATTCTGGCTAATTGGCCCGAACCTGATGTCAAGGTATATGGGAATCGGAGGCACGAGTATTAGACCCGAAAAATAATGAAAAACTTTTTCGTATTAAAGGCTATTGTCGTGACTGATGGCGAGCGCATCCTCGGACTGGGAGACCTGGGAGCTAACGGTTCGCACACTTTGATCCAATTGTGATGTTTTTTATTCACTATTATCGCTACAGGAATGGGAATACCGGTCGGAAAGATGGCTCTATACTCGGCGATCGGCGGCATACCGCCGGAGCTGACACTTCCCGTCTGCATAGACGTCGGCACTAATAACGAGACACTTCTGAAGGATCCCTATTATATCGGTTTACGGCAGAAGCGAGTGAAAGGCAACGAATACGACCACCTGATCGACGAGTTCATGGAGGCGGTCGTCCGGCGCTGGGGTCGCCAAACGCTCATCCAATTCGAGGACTTCGCTAATAATAACGCGTTCCGTCTTCTCGAGAAATATAAGACCAGATACTGTGTGTTCAACGACGACATACAGGGAACCGCTTCGGTGGCCGTCGCCGGCATTATCGCCAGCCTTAAGATCACGGGAACTAAGATCACGCAACACACGTTCCTGTTTCAGGGGGCCGGCGAGGTATGTCTACACCGGGATATGCACTCAACCTTTTGCCTGTCATATAATACTTGTTTGGCTACCTATAGGCCGCGTTGGGAACGGCTGATCTGCTGGTGATGGCTATGGAACAGGAGGGCATGTCTACCGAAGACGCCCGGAGTAGGATCTGGCTGATCGACTCGCAGGGTTTGGTCACATTGAGCCGTACCGGACGCGTCGATCCACACAAACAGCATTACGCGAAACAGGCGACGGAGTCCAAGAATCTCGAAGAGATTGTTGATTTGGTCAGACCTTCTTGTATTATAGGTCTGTCCATCACTCACACACAACACCATTCAATGATCCATTTACTTACCACTGATGTCTACCCCCCCCCCATTGATAGGTGTGTCAGCCGTTTCCGGTGCGTTCACGGCGTCCATACTCAAGAAGTTGGCCGCCTTTCACAAGCGGCCCATAGTCTTCGCCCTATCAAACCCCACGAGCAAAGCCGAGTGCACCGCGGAGGAGGCCTACCAGCACACGGAGGGCCGGTGTGTGTTCGCCAGCGGCTCCCCGTTTGATCCGGTCGTCTACAACGGCAAGACCTACGTCCCCGGACAGGGCAACAACGCCTACATCTTCCCGGGCGTGGCGCTGGCGGTGATGGCCTGCGGTGTCAATGAGATCCGGGATGAGGTGTTTCTGGTGGCGGCCAAAGCGTTGGCCGATTTGGTCACCAAACAGGACTGCGAGGAGGGCCGGGTGTACCCGGCGTTGGAGACAATCAACGAGACGTCGCTGCGATTGGCCGCCAAAGTCGCCCAATGGTTCTACACGGAGGGGTTCGCCACCCATCGCCCGGAGCCCGACGACAAGTACCTGTTCCTGAAGGGCAAGCTATACGACGCCACCTACGATGGCAGCAGTTTCACCAAACATATTAACGGGAAGTCCGCGTGGAGTTCCCTGAATCCCAGTTTCACCCGCTAATTGGGATGTATATCACACACTCGCAGGCGCTTTACCGCCAATTAATTATTACTATATATTAATATTTAATCTAATTTTTAATTTAAATCTCAATCTCTATATCAATTGATATGCTGAGAGTTACTGTGTATTACAGTATCTATGATATCGTTATGTTAAGTAAATTATTAGCGAAATCCGATGTTTTTTATTGTAATGAATATATAATTAATTGTATGATTTGTTTCTTGCGATGAATTTGTTATAATAAGTTATGTTTTGACAAAAAGTATTTTACGATAATATGATACCTTCTCTCAATGTTATGCAATAATAAAAGTTAATTGAATTTAAAGTTATGGAAAATACTTGTACATACTGTGTCCGGATCAATTTAATATCTCAATATATACTGAGTTTGTACGTCAATGCGATAATCTACTGATGAAAGTGAACCAATAATTATAAACTTTAATAACTTTCATGAAATTTATTGAAGTTTACTTGAATACTATTCACTGAATAGTATTGATTGAGTCAATGAAAAAAAAGTTTTTTGTTTTCCATACACTTTCACATCACCGGCAATCACTTAATGATTAACTCTTAATCCCTGAGATTAACAGTGAGTCTCACACGAGATTAGCAGCTCATAAACAGGTCTATGCGTGAAATTAATGAGTTTTTTATATACATATAATAATACTGTATATTTAAATAACAGCCTAAATGTGCTGCTAATCAATGCATACGAGAAATTGAGTGACACTTGAGAGGCAAGTGTTGACTCAAACAGCGACTCAAAAACTGTAAGCTTTTGCACGCATTGATCGCAACGACTGTACAGACATTCAGTCACTTTCTGGCACTCACTGTGTGTTTCGCAACGCAAACAGCCATTCATTGTCTCATCGGTTGATACCATACATACATTACCATCACTTATACCCATCACTACCTCTTAGCCACAGATTTGATCGCATTTTATACCAGTTTTTGTTATTCATTTAGTAGTTCACAGTCTCATCGCAAACACGGCACCGGTATTCATGTCTAACCCGAGGGCACAGCACAGGCGTCACCACCAAAATCAGGACAACACGTCCCGACAGACGTACCGCAACTCGTCGTTCAATGATCGACGAGATAATAGGGATAACAGGCCCGAGAGGACTGTCTTCAGGAGTGCCACCGATGGCAGGGATGTCCGGCGACAGTTCAATGACAGCGCCGGTGGTCAGCGACAGCCGCCTAAAGACATGAGGGAAGCGCCGGGAGGTGTGGCCACCAAAGCGGACACGAATCACATGCCGGGGATACCGGTGTCGAAGAACCAGTCGACCATTCCGTTCGGCGGTGACACCAAACAGGAGGCCATCAGCGGTTCTAACGCTTCCAATGTTACCAAACCGGAGGTGACGGTCACCACCGCTCCAGAGGTAGCGAATGGCGCGGCTGTCGACACAGTAACCGATGGTATGAAACGAATGGATTTGAAGGCACCGGAAGACGACGCGAAGGACACGAATGGCGTGAAGAGTGGCGACGAGCCGTCGCCGCAACCAATAGGAGTCACTCCGGGTATGAAATGAGGGATCAATTCACTGGTGACTTCGTCTTTAACGACTAGTTTTCTCTTCGCAGATAAGACATACAGCAAAGCCTTGACCGCAGCCCTCGAGTCCACTGTTGACACCGCTTTGCCGGAGACTCGGATCAGGCGCTCATACACCGTGAGCGGGGCCGGTATGGGCGCCAAATACCCGGGTCAGCACCGGTACACGAACCAGAGGAATGGCAACAACAACACCGGCAACGACTCCGTGCGCCAGAACCACATCAACGCCAATAAGTTTTACAATTCTAACGATCGATACAACGCTAACGCGAAGAACGAGTCCATGGATTACAAGCGCCCTCTGAAGCCGCAGCACCACAAGCTGTCGCCGCAGAAGTCCTACAAGAATCCCATGATCTACGAGTGCACACCCAATGTCAGTCTCATACAGCCATACGCCGTGAATCCATACGTGAATCCCGAGTACATACCGATCCAGCGCTACCAGTATTACACGATTCCCGTGCCGTACGCTAACCCTCTGCCACCCAATCCCAGTCCTAATCTCAATGGTGGACATCAGTCGTCGTCGGCGAACACCGGTCTCAATGGTGGTCCGAATAGCGCCGGTAGTAAGGGCTCGGACGCCGGCAACTCGTCGATCGGTATAATCGTATGAATTTGTGATTTAAATTAAAGTTTTGATAAAATTTTGTGTATTTTGTAGACAAGAATCAGATGTCATTCTTCCAGCCATTCCAGCCGACGCCCGAACATCCCGTTCCCCCCACTTATTACGGATACATCGCGCCTATAGTCCACGAGAACGGCGCGTACGCCTACTATTTCGTCAGTATCTTCCCGCCAAACATAACGCCCCTCCGCGTGGACGTCGACCCGAACGGCTGTCCCGTCATTCCGTCCAACTGTATGCTCATGAATGCCGTCGACTACTCCAACGCTATGCTCAACGCTAACTGAGTCGTGCTACCGACCACTAGACTACTAGCCCTCCCGGTTGTGACCCCTGACACCCCATGTTTCCCCTATTTTTCTATAATAACACTCAAATAATACTCTCTATATTCAGTTGTTTATAAATAATTAGATTTGTATTTTTCTATTCGTTTAAAGCTTAGGTTTAATTATTATTACTATTTTTGTTTATTATCTATACTTTTTTCCCTAACATTTAATTTGTCTGTTTTTTTATAATTACCATAATTATTAGCGTATTAATACGTGTTGTAAAATATCTGCATAATCTTTATATTATTAACAAATTTGTGTTCAATTTATTATTAAATATTATAAGACTTAGGTTGTAAATGTATTATTGTTTATCACATAAATAAAAGCGTTTAATTTTTACGATAATACCACTCATTATATGGTGTTAACACCTAAATCCCATGTTATAAGGGAACGGTAGCATTGGTAAGACGTTTGTACCGGTAATACTTTCGCGACTTTCACTCGCGATTGTAACCAACGTGATGATGGACTGCACGGGTAGTCCACTCCCGGGTGGGAATACAGACACGGTTTAGGTGTTTTAAAACTCTTAATTGGTTTTTAATAAAACAATTTATAAAACAAGAGTAAAATAACTGTTGAATAATATCTGCTATGAAAAGGAGTTTTACATGAATTGAGTTTTTCAATGGAAATATTCATAACATACTAGACAACAGTCAATATAATTATTATATAATAATTCATATATTCATTGATATGATAACAACTAAACAATTCATATATATATTTACATTGAATTGAAAATATAGCAACACTTTCATCGACAACAACACCGAAGTATAGATACCATCGCTGGGAGCTATCACTCAATGGCATCACTCAATGATCAGCGGACCCACGAAGCACTTCTTCAGCATCGACTCGAAGTTCACGTACTTATGGATCTCATTGAACAGATCCGTGCCATCACTACCGGCGCCCCTCATCATCTCATCCACGCCTCCCGGATGGAAATCCAGGTACTGCGTCACGTTATACACCTTTCCCCTGATGGATATCCAGCAGTCATCCACCGTATTATGCTTCTGGAGCTCGTCCACGGACACGGGCGTCACTTGACCGCCAGTGCCCGACAGGTCCGGCGACTTCGCGCACAGTTTGAGCCAATCCATGAGCGAGTGGCCGGGCTTTAGGGCCACTCTCGTCCTCCCGGAGCCGGTCGCGTTGCCCCCCGCCGTCGGCTCCGCGCCCGAGATGTCCGTCAAGTCGTCGTTCAGCACAATCGACGGCCGCCTGTCCGTCGAGGACAGCGCTTTCGGCGCACCCTTTGAGCTGTCGTTGCTGTCCGTATCCATGATCTGTGGCTTGGATGTGATCGCACCGCACATTACCACTCAATCCATGTATATATAAATGTGCGACAATTGACGGATCCAATCACACGCTCATCGCTGGCGCACAACCACTACTGCGATAAACCACTCACTTATCGTGTAATGCAATGGGTTTACAGGTGTACTGCTAACCATTCACAGCGTTCACTGAGTGTTTAATACATAAATCCAATTACGATATGGTTTCCAAAATATTTAATTGTTATCACGAATCCAATAAATTATGCTTAAAAACTCCTATTTACTTATTTATTTAGCTAGCTCATTATGGCACACATCTGTGAGTATATTGATAAAAACAATACAACATTTACCACGAATTACGACAATATATGGTGTAATGTTTGCGATCCCCGTAATGCTGCTTATAATGCATGTAATGATTAATATGCAAACGTTTTTTGTTTTACCATGCTATTTATTCTGTGAAGTTTTCAATATGTTATGCAAACGCACAGAATATATTACAGAATATTGTAAAATATAACAATATATGCACCAATACCACAGTATGTGTACTAAAATACATATGTTTAAACATATCCCATGTATTGTTTGTTGATATATTGTATTTAGAGCTCATAATATTATTTAATCAATGCTCTCATTGTGAATCCAGTGAATTATGAATTAATTTCCAATAATAATTATTATATAGACATTTTCCATATTCATAACATGCAAAACATTAAAATGTCTAAGTTTTAAAAGTCAAAAGTCATTGAAATAAATGCAAATATGCTCTCGTTTTTGGTTTTATAAGTTTTCCACAATTTTCCTTATCTGTATAGTGATAGCAATTTTTGTATAAATAACATTTTGTGCAAATAACATACACTGCAATTGTAATTTAAACTACCATCACATGTGATTTTTAATTTATTTATAACATTAAGCCAAATATCATTACAGATTGCATATCATTAACATAATTACAATGTATTTATATATAGTACAGTACAGAATATACTGTATATTTATTCACAATAAGTTTATTTTGAATCAATTCTGTAAGTCTAGTGAGTAAGTTAGATGTCCTAATTTTAGCTAGCATATTTATACACCCCATTAAACCTAAATTGTTATTTATTTATCAATTAATTCGTAAACTATTGTTTTCTCTAATTCTCTAATAATAGCAATAGTCCTTGTTTTACAATAACTCTTAACATTTAATTATTATTTGATAAAACTATTGGTTTTCATAACACAATTCCAGTGTTAATTATAATGACATTAAACAAGTTTATAATCGCATATCACTAGCGATAAGATTACAAACATATAAAACTAATAAAAAATATTTTCAGACAAACTTTTTTTTACTGTGTTTCGTAACTATGAAATTAAAAAGTAATATATCAAAAAATATATATACATGTAACTTATAAAAATAAATAAAATTGTAACTTTTTTCACTGCAATTAGAGAGCTATGTATGAAATGCACACAAAAATCATATGAAACACAATATTTTGCATTTTTTGCTAAATAATGGGAAATATAAAAAATATGTATTTAATTATAGTTAACAATAAAACACAGCATTTAATGACAATTCAAACCACTGTTTACTCAAACGTCAAACTTATGGGGGAAAGGCTTATACCGATTGGGCTGTTGTTGTTGTTGCTGTCCTTCCAGTGCCGCCTACTTCTCATGCAATCTCGGGCACAGGGCTGGTATGCCGGGGGGGAACTCCATATCTCTCATTGGAAAGCCTACCAAACACACAGCACCGGCACTATAGCCACCCTCGACACCACAGCTGTTGTCAAACGCTATACGAAAAACACAATTCAATACATATTTTGCACTGAAATAGTGTTAACTCATGATTCACTCAATACTGTAATACTGTTGTAATGAATCATACATTTGATGCCTATTATTGCAAATAGATATCAATTTTTTAGACCAAAAAAAACTGTATTTTATTCATAATTATTGCGTATATTTCGTGTATTTTTATTGTAATTTTCATTACAATCAGTGATTAGTTAATTGAGTACTGAATCGGTGTTTAGTATAGCAGTCATAATAGTGTTGTGTGTTTTTGACACTAACTTAGCGTTGAATGCATTCATTATCGCATTGATAGCCATTTGAGTGTCAAATGTGTTAAACAATTGTCTGATTTTGTGGTCGCGATCGGTGTTTGCTTTGCATTTATCGCACATTTCAGACCATCAGTCACTTCCCCATAAAAGACAATGCATTTGGCGATCAAATCATTGCTTTCGTTGTATTTATTAATCGCTTTGTTTGGTCTCAAGTCGGCCGCAGACATCGACCTCTGCGGTGACCATACGGATGGCACCGATAGTACGGTTGGTGTGGACATCGCCGCCCTCAAGACGTGAGAGCCATTGTCTTAAGTGGTGGCAGTCTTTGCCTAACATATGCTGTTTTGTATTGATTGGTAGGATGTCTCTGAATTGGACACAAAGTGATACGACTAAGAGTCCGGTGGAGGCCGTCATCGACTACTACGGAAGCTTTTGCAGCCCATTAAAGGCTGGAAGCGATACGAAAGTCCCGGCTAACTGTAATGGTAGTCATGTTTGTCAGCACATCCGGCACGACAACCAGTCCGTCGGTATGTGTCACAGGATTTTGTGCCATATTTAGGGCGATATGTATTGCCTTTTCCGAACACATATGACATGATTTGCTAATCGTTTGATAGGATATAAGCTGAGAAGAGCGGATGAGGTGTCGGACAACGTCACCGCCAACAAGAAGGGACTGGTTGTCCAGTTTGACGGCCCTCCCTGTCCCGAGCAGAGCATCCTCAACAAAACCATTAAAATCACATTCATTTGCGACTCGCAATTGGTATGTCATCTCAAGGGTTACCTCATTATTATGAATGGCTTTTTCAATGACTCATTGTATATATTTTTAATCCAAACCATTGGTGTGTAGGGAACGCCCGAACATATCGTGGACACCAGTTGTAGCACTAATTTCAAATGGAAAACACCGGCTGTCTGTCGGAAACCCCCGTCCCCTCCCACCACTACCACTCCCCCACCACTGAAGACCGTGCACTGTGTGTGGGACAACGGCTCGCACATCCTAGATCTGACACAACTGGCCATGACTTCCGGCAACCACTTTGCCGTAGGCGTGCCCACCATCACGTCCAGCGATTACTCCATTTACTACATCAACATCTGTCGCCCCCTAAACCCCATCAAAGAGAAACACATGAGTCTGAAGGAGTGCGGGCCCAACTCGGCCGCCTGTAAGGTGTCCCTAAGCGCCACTCACGAGCACCTGAATCTGGGAGAGCCTACCAGTCATCCGATCAGCGTATTCGACGGCAGTGTCAGCTTATTCTACGAGAACGGCGACCCGTGCCCGCAGGACCCGAGCAAACGGCTGTCCACGCGAATCAAGTTCGAGTGCGACCGCACGGCCGACCTGTTCACGCCCACCGTCCACGAGCCGGGCAGCGAGTCGCTGGACGAGGAGCGGTGTGTCTATATGTTTGAGTTCAAGACGGCCGCCGTTTGCGATGTCCTGCAGCCCACGAAACTCGCCAACAATTCATGCACTTTCACGGACAAGACGACCGGTCTTAGCGTCGACTTGAGTCCGCTGAAGAAGCCGTCGAAAGAGCCCTATAATATCAGTTCAGAGACCTCGGGCAACGTCTACGAGCTGAACGTGTGCGGCCTAACCAACACCATAGGCGCCCCCGAGTGCTATAAGTCCGCCGTCTGTATGGTTAACAAAACGAAGTCCGTCTTCAGCTACGGTTTGCTGACGTCGAGCGCCTTCTTCTACGACGGCGTCGATCTGCGGCTCAAGCACTACGACGGCTCCAAATGCGAGGCCCACTCGGACACCGGCGTCATGTCCTCCGAGATTGTATTCAAATGCAATCCCAACGCCGCGAAGGACACGAGGCCGGTGCTCGTGAGCGAAACGGGCTGTACGGCTGTGTTCACGTGGGAGACGGCGCTGGTATGCAATCTGGTGCTCCCGAAGTGCGCGCTCGTAGCCGACGACAAGCTCTACAATTTGCGTCAATTGTCGTCAATATCGCACGCGTGGAACGCAACGGATCCCAACGATAATAAGACGGTATACTTCCTGAATGTCTGCACAGCTCTGCCCCACACCGTGGGCTGCGAGGACAGGAACGCCGCCGCCTGTAAGTGCACACTAGACCCGGCGCGCAATGGGATGAACTGTTCGCAGAGTTTGGGCGATCTGTCGGCGGATGAGCTGACCGTCGATGGCAACGGAAATCTGGTGCTCACGTACGTCAACGGAGAGGCCACGGACTGCGACCACGGGATTAAGACGGCGTCGACTAAAATACTGTTCATATGCGGCACCCGTACCGGTAGTCCCGAGTTTAAGGGCTTTGACAGACGGACGTGTAGTTATCATTTCGAGTGGAGGTCGTGGATGGCCTGTTCGCTGACCGACAGGAACGACACGCTGTCGATGGAGAACGGGTTTCTCAGAGATGATAGGATCGACTCGTTTATCGATTTGCGGCCACTGTTGACCCAAACATTCAAAGTTAAGGAGCAGCGCCGCCTACCCGACAACACCACCGACGAGTACACGTATGTCATAAACCTAAACACCTCTCAGATGCTGGACGAGGCCAACCGGTGCCTCAACGCCGCCGTCTGTCAGACGAAGGAGTTGACGACCTTCTTCCGCGACATCGGGAGTCTCGGCTCCGCGAAGTACTACCTGAGGGGACACGAGCTGCAGATCGCGCTGCAGTCGCTGGACGTCCGCCAAAAGTGTGGCAAAAATCGCAACAAAAACGTGACGACAATCTTACGGCTCCACTGCGCGTCGTCGGCCGGCTTCGGGGCGCCGACGTTCATGTATGAGTCCAATGACTGCGACTATACGTTCAATTGGGAGACGGCGCTCGTGTGTCCGGAATACTTCGTGAAGTCCGATGAGTACGTGGTGTTTGTGGCCAATAAGACGCGCGCGGCGGACGCGGACTCCGGCGTCGACATCTCGGAGGTAGTCGACGACAGCTCAAAAGGGAAGTCCAGTACCAGCAGCGTCTGGATTGGTATCCTTATAGTCATGTTTTTTGTGGTCACTCTCACGGGTCTCGTGTTGTATAAGCAAAGAGTCAGGTATTGATTGATAGTGTGGTGAATGAGTTGAGGTTTTTTTTGATGACAACCTGTTTTTTCTCGTATACTTTTGAAGGCAAGCCGTGATGTTTAAGTTNCGAGGCCGGTGCTCGTGAGCGAAACGGGCTGTACGGCTGTGTTCACGTGGGAGACGGCGCTGGTATGCAATCTGGTGCTCCCGAAGTGCGCGCTCGTAGCCGACGACAAGCTCTACAATTTGCGTCAATTGTCGTCAATATCGCACGCGTGGAACGCAACGGATCCCAACGATAATAAGACGGTATACTTCCTGAATGTCTGCACAGCTCTGCCCCACACCGTGGGCTGCGAGGACAGGAACGCCGCCGCCTGTAAGTGCACACTAGACCCGGCGCGCAATGGGATGAACTGTTCGCAGAGTTTGGGCGATCTGTCGGCGGATGAGCTGACCGTCGATGGCAACGGAAATCTGGTGCTCACGTACGTCAACGGAGAGGCCACGGACTGCGACCACGGGATTAAGACGGCGTCGACTAAAATACTGTTCATATGCGGCACCCGTACCGGTAGTCCCGAGTTTAAGGGCTTTGACAGACGGACGTGTAGTTATCATTTCGAGTGGAGGTCGTGGATGGCCTGTTCGCTGACCGACAGGAACGACACGCTGTCGATGGAGAACGGGTTTCTCAGAGATGATAGGATCGACTCGTTTATCGATTTGCGGCCACTGTTGACCCAAACATTCAAAGTTAAGGAGCAGCGCCGCCTACCCGACAACACCACCGACGAGTACACGTATGTCATAAACCTAAACACCTCTCAGATGCTGGACGAGGCCAACCGGTGCCTCAACGCCGCCGTCTGTCAGACGAAGGAGTTGACGACCTTCTTCCGCGACATCGGGAGTCTCGGCTCCGCGAAGTACTACCTGAGGGGACACGAGCTGCAGATCGCGCTGCAGTCGCTGGACGTCCGCCAAAAGTGTGGCAAAAATCGCAACAAAAACGTGACGACAATCTTACGGCTCCACTGCGCGTCGTCGGCCGGCTTCGGGGCGCCGACGTTCATGTATGAGTCCAATGACTGCGACTATACGTTCAATTGGGAGACGGCGCTCGTGTGTCCGGAATACTTCGTGAAGTCCGATGAGTACGTGGTGTTTGTGGCCAATAAGACGCGCGCGGCGGACGCGGACTCCGGCGTCGACATCTCGGAGGTAGTCGACGACAGCTCAAAAGGGAAGTCCAGTACCAGCAGCGTCTGGATTGGTATCCTTATAGTCATGTTTTTTGTGGTCACTCTCACGGGTCTCGTGTTGTATAAGCAAAGAGTCAGGTATTGATTGATAGTGTGGTGAATGAGTTGAGGTTTTTTTTGATGACAACCTGTTTTTTCTCGTATACTTTTGAAGGCAAGCCGTGATGTTTAAGTTCCGGCGGCTGTTCCGACCCGAGACTACTAATCATACATTCCATTACCATCAGGTATGTCCACCCCTTTACACCCTTTCTCTACGCCCACTTTTATTCCCAGTTTTTTCTCTGTTTTTGTTTTTCAGTTCCGTTCCCCTAATTACAGTTAAACGGTTTCGTGTCCTTTAAAACCAATGCCAAAGATATATGTGTTTTATTATTCCCAATGCATGTGTCATTCATTCCTCACCGGTGTTTGTGTTTCTCTTAAGACTTTTTTTGATTAATTTTTTGTATGCAAATCACTAATTGAATCACTAATTGTTAATCGTATTGATTGTTCACTCGTGTCTGTGTGTGTGTGCCATGTCTTGCAATGTGTTAATTGATTGATGTCCTCATGTTTTTTGATAACACTTAAAACTACGAATCGCTTGTCATATCGATGTGTAGATATCTTTATAAAAACGGCAAAACCATATCCTAACCCAACAGTTGGCGACGCTTGAGAAGAATAGACAGACAACGAGTACACCGGATGTGGTCTTCATCGACAACACCAACGCCACACACAATCGTAACACAATTGCAGCGCAACCTTCAGCTCCAGTGCCTTATTATACCACCATTTACGACGACTCGGACGTCGACCTCCTCACCTGACCTCTCACACCTCCCGACCTGACCCGCCAATCGGTTTAATAGATATGTTGTATCGCTAAAAATATACCGCTTTTTAAGTCACTTTTAGTTTAATTAATATATAATTTGTGTCAACAATTGTATGACGATTAACGCTAACACTTAACGCTTGGTTTGTTTGAATTGTTTTATAATTACTCATTGATTATATATAGACCTGTGATAAGAGTTAATTTGAAATAATTGTCACTATATTTATATACGATATATAACCATAACCTCAGCAGAGATTTTAGACACGGATTATATCGGTGTCCGTACGCGAGAGTGATCCGTAAGATTGATCTGCAATTGGATTTTGATTGACAACTGGTTTTCCAAGCGAAGTGATGTCTAGTCTACGAGAAAAACACACCATTCCTTTGATCTGTTATTCTTCTCATTGCAGCTCAAACTCAGACACAAAACCAAATAAATATAAAATTTATTACGAATGAAAAGTTATTGTAAATATAATGTTTAATATAATTATTATATGAAATTTAAATGTTTTTAATTGTTTAAAAACTTTGAATGATATACTGTTCCCCACACTTGTTGTACACATACACACACAGACATACTATAGTTATATATGAATTTAGTATTTGATAATAAGGTATCTCAATAAGACATAGTGTTAGATATGATAATTGTTGCCAAAACACACACACAAAGCGATAAATTAGTTAATTTTTACTTCAAACATAAGTTTTTATCATTTGATTATTAAATTTCAAATAAAATTAAGTTATTTATGAATAGTTTTTGCGTATATTTTGTTGACGTGCTGTATGTGTGGCAAAACACCACGCATTGCAAAACTCACACTCAAAACACGTGTTGTGTATTAAATGCTCGCAATGGCTGTTGCGTTACATGTCGGTGCCGTTGCATACGTGCGCTAATCGTATATATAGGTAGGAGTGATAGCCGTAAATATACTCATCGTTTCAGATCGCAGTCTGTGGCGAAACACCACTTTCTCAATGCATTTGAATCGCTCTCACAGTCTGTGAACGCATTGCAAACCATTGACTGGTTTCTCGCCGCAGATATATCGCCACCACTACTGTTGTCCACACAATCATCACCACAATCACCACCACCAGCGATATGTCCACACAAGTGGACCAAATCAGGCGCCAATTGGACGACATCGAGGCCAAGAGGTTGGCGCTCGTGAAGGATGAGCTGAAGCTGAGGGATGAGTTGCGACTTCTGGAGAGATCGGATGGCGGGTCCCAGAAACGGAAGCAAAACTCGGTGTCCGAAGAGCCGGCGGCTAAGAAGCAGGCGATTGGTGTCAAACCCGGCGCTAAGAAGGACTCGAGCGACGACTCGTCGGACTCGGAGTCCGATTCAGATGACGACAAACCAAAGGGAGCCGCGAAGAAGCCGACGACCCCTGCGGTGACTAAACCGGCGCCGAAAGTGACGCCAAATTCCGTTCAGAAGCCGACCCCTAAGGCTGCGGCCAAACCCGAGTCGAGCGACTCTTCGGACGACTCGTCCGACGACTCCGAGGACGGGAAGAAGAAGCCGACGACCGCTGCGGTGACTAAACCCTCGCCCAAAGTGGCGGCAAAACCACTCGTAAACGGTGTTCAGAAGCCGAAGGCTGCGGCCAAACAAGACTCGAGCTCTTCGGACGACTCGTCCGACAGCGACGATGAGAAGAAACCGACGGCTGCGGCAAAAACGACGCCTAAAGTGGCGCCAAAAGCCACGCCAACTGTGACCCCAAAAGTGGCGCCGAAAGCCGCCGCTAAACAAGAGTCGAGTTCTTCGGAGGACTCGTCCGACTCCGACGACGAGAAGAAACCCAAAGTCGCTGCGAAACCCGCGCCAAAGGTCACGCCGAAAGCCACGCCAAACGCGACCCCAAAAGTGACGCCTAAGGCGGCGGCTAAACAGGACTCGAGTTCTGAAGAGGACTCGTCCGACTCTGACGACGAGCCCAAGAAGACGGTACCCGCGAAAGCTGTACCTAAAGTCGCCCCTAAAGTGACGCCAACAGTCACTCCTAAGCCGACCCCCAAAGCTGCCGCTAAACAAGAGTCGAGTTCGTCGGACGACTCGTCCGACTCGGAGGATGAGAAGAAACCCGTGGCTAAGGCGACGCCTAAAGTAGCGCCGAAAGTGACCCCAAATGCCGCCTCCAAAGTGACGCCTAAGGCGGCGGCCAAACAGGACTCGAGTTCCGAAGAAGACTCGTCTGATTCCGAAGAGGAAGCGCCCAAAAAGATAACCCCAACGAAAGCCACGCCTAAAGTCACCCCAACCGCGACCCCAAAAGTCACCCCTAAAGCCGCGGCTAAACAAGAGTCGAGTGAAGAATCGGACGACTCTTCCGAAGAAGAAGCGCCCAAAAAGGCTGTCCCAACGAAAGCGACTGCGGCCGCGAAACCCGCGCCTAAAGTCGCCCCAAAAGTGACGCCGAAAGCGGCCGCCAAACAGGACTCGAGTTCGTCGGACGACTCGTCCGATTCCGAAGAGGAAGCGCCCAAAAAGATGACTACAATTACGCCCAAAACGACGCCGAAAGCGGCGGCGGCCGACTCGGACGACGAAGACGACTCCTCATCGGAAGAGGAGCCCAAAAAAATAGAGATATTTTCAAAGGCGTCGCTAAATCAGAGGCAATCCAAGAGTCCGTCGCCGTCGAAGTCAAAGCCGGCGAAGCGGAAGTCGTCGCCCTTTCGGCGCATAAAAAGCGCTGAAATGAACGGAAACGAGGAACTAATGGACAACTCGTTTGAGTCGAAGGGAGGTTACGATCAATGGGGCAAAAAAGCGGCCGCGAGTTTGGGTGCCGTGAAGGGGAAGGACTTCCGGAGGGAGAAGACCAAGAAAAAGAGGGGCAGTTATGGCGGCGGAGTCATCAATACGGGCGTCAATTCGTTTAAATTTGAGTAATTCTTACGACTCTTCTTAGGTTTATAATTATTATAATAATCATTCATTTTGTGAATTATTTAATTAATTAAGATTTCTATTACTATTTGTTTCGCTGAAAACGGGACGTGAATTAGTGTTTCAATACTTTTCTCTCTCTTACGGTACTTTGTCATTTATTACCCAATTATTGATTGTTTTTTAATTATTTTCATATAATTTAATAATTAAATCGAAAAAAGACTTATGAAATGTAAAATGAGATGACTTTTTAATTTTGTGAAAATATTCCCAATAAATGATGTATTTTTTCATTTCAAACGTGAATTTATTTACAAAAACAGGGTTTTAATGAGAAAAATGGTTATCATTTGTCGGTGTAGTCCTCGAGTATGTCCTGCATGTGATCATTGAGTTTCTTGAAGTTGGCCTTCCGTTTGGTGGCCGCCTTCTTGCGCTTCTGGACGTGCGCTGTCTTCTTGAGGCCCACGTCCTGCATGGATGTGATGCCCTGATTGGCTAAATACTCCTCGATCTTCATCTCGTCGATGCCCTCCACGGCCACCGAACGCCACAGCTTCTGGAACTCGTCGTCCACTTTCATGTCTTGGGAGCTGTCGTTATAGAACAACACCTTCTTCTTATCCATGGGTCGGGTGATGATAATGATCTTCTTCTGGTCGGCGAGACTCTTCACGTGCCGATCGGCGTTCGGGAGCGACTCCTGGACGTCCTCGAGAGCCACACCACCCATACCTCTCTGGTCGCACTTATCCAGCAGTCGGAGCAACGACTTCTTGTCCCTCAACGGGTACAGCGGTTTGAAAGCGTACTTCTGGTCGTCGGTGATGACAATCTTCGGGTTGTTTGGAAGCGCTTCGATCAGCAGCCAGTTCTTCTGTTTGGGCGTCAGATCCAATTGGTTCGTCTCGTCCAAGAGGTCATCGAAGGTGAGGGCTTCGGCGTCGCCGTCCAGGTATCGCTGTTTCATCCAATTGACGATTTTGGCCAAAACGGCGAAGTTGTGAGAGGAGGCGCCCGACTGGCGACCGAACGCATACAAGTCACGTGTGGTCTGCGGTGTCGACTCCTTCTTCGGTCGCTTTGAAGACTTGGAGGAAGCGGTGGACGCGTTGGCGGTCGATGTGGTGGCGGACGATGACTTGGAGGACGCCTTCCGGTTCTCGACGACCGGAGTGGCGAACGCCTTCTTCTTGAAGGCCTCCCTCTCGCGGAGTAACGAGGGATCCATTCCTCCGGAGGAGTTGTGGTAAGCTTTATATCGACTGAATTGGGGCTCAAATTACTCGCGATTTGCGATACAATTGAATGTGTTTTGAATGAAAACGTAAACAAAATGCGAAAACAATTCATAAAATACGTGACAAACGACTCGTATTTTTCGTGGCATTGGTTTCGGTTTGTATTGAGAAATGAATGGAAAAAAACTTTTTGAAAACTCGTCTCTAATTATCGGTTGCGAATGAAAAACGATATGATTATCACATGAAATAAATGTTTTCGCAATTGTGTCCATAAAACCAATGTATACATGAAAAAGTGGAAAACAAAAACTTTCGCCAAAAGTCCAAAAGTTTATGACATTTAACAAACTGTGACCGAAAACTAAATGCATTTCATACGAGTGTTAAATGTGACTGAGTTTGCGCTGTAGTGTCCATTCACTACCACTATAGCAGTGCATTGAATGCGGCGTTCAATGCAGTGTTGAATGCATTTCATTACGACTCGTCTCGGAGTGGGAGTTAAGGCTAAGGCCTATGCGAGTGAGTAGTCTGTGCTTCAGTGCATTGCATGAGACAATCGGCTCAACGCTATCACACGTAATCCTAACAGCGATTCAAAAAACATTACGTAAAACGCCTTACTATTCAAGTAAAGGGCTGTTAGTGTATGCGTGAGAGTGGGCTATCAGTGCACTGGCAGGCAGTGTATGAGTGAGAGACTCCCTGTGCCATAGGGCTGGCTG